GCAATCTTGCAATTTGGTACCTGACGTGCACCAGCAAGGCCACGTAACTGAAGCGACAATTCCACGACTTGTGACTACACCTAAAATAGAAAAATTAGAAATTTGATACTGAAGTAAAATTTCAAGTAATCTCATAACAAATAAAAAACGAGAAGTTGATTCCTTTTCGTATTCATATTCATACCAGTTGCACCAATTGGATGTCCTTTGGATATTAATCCACCAGAAGGATTGATAACCCATTTTCCACCATATGTATTGTCACCTTTATCAACAATGTCACTACCTTTACCTAAAAGAAATCAATCAAATTCGATCAGATTTTTCGAAATCAAAACAAAATTGTTAAGTGCCATTGATAATATTTTCCCTTTAATCAGTTTTTTTTTCCAAAATGTAAATTACATTTTTAAAAGACGACTGTAAGCCTTAATTTCATGCCAAATGATATCAAAATTTCAAGTGCAATTTTGAAAAATTCGATTGTCGGACTATATGAACAATTTTAAATTCTAGCTAGAAATCAAAAAATAACTTACCAACAGGACAAAGACCAAGTGCTTCGTAAGAAATCAGTTCATTTGGCGCGAAGCAATCATGTAACTCAATTACCTGTAATTGTCTCAAACAAAGCGAAATTCAGTGAGAAAGAAAAGTATAAAGAATCATAAGTGAATGCGTTTTAATGTATTGTAATTAAAGTTATAAATCATCCAAAGTCTTTTCTGTTTGAGTAAGGCACAATCATTGCATAGAATTATATATGTGCTCTTTGTTTAGCAATGTACCCGAAGAGACCCATACAAATGTGCGCTAATAAAGAGTGCTTGATCAGTATAAGCTAACAAAGGAGCTAATCCTTGTAATCGCAAAATCAATCCTTGAAAGATGTACATTAAAGCTCTAGAAATAGCGAACATTTTCTTATTGGAACTATTTTGAAATTCTCTCGTCCACAAAAAAAAAAGAAATGGAAAAGGGAGAACAATTTCTTAGACTTCATACCTGTACATCGCTTGGCGTTAATCCTGTCTTCTGATATAATCTATTTGATAATTTGCGTATCATATCAAAGCCAATCATTTTTATGGCCGAACGTTCAGCAAATACAGATGGTTCATCAGTGCCTAACTCAGCACCTATATTTTAAAAATATTCAATATGATTTTATAATTTTTTTAAAAAAGAAAATGTAACAAAAATATGCTTTGAAAATTTATTGCATAGAAATCAAACTTATAAGAAAAACGCATATTTCAAAGATCATCGGATCAAATTCAAATCTGTTTTATCTTACATACGATACTTTTCAATACTTTCTCTGTTCAATGCATTTTCATAGAAAGGATTAAAGTGAAATAGAAACTTTAATTGCATAAAAATTAAAACTTATAAAGGATTGGATTACAAAAATTGCTGCACTAGTAACTTCAATTTAAATTTACAGCAAATTTTACAATGTATTTGCATATCTGAAATCTTTTCCATCTAAAAAAGCACTCAAATTTATTTGCAAATTTTAATATTGAAACATTTCAAACTAATATTACCAATAATTTCAACAGCTTGTTTGGATAGATGGGGAAATTTCATTAAAAATTTTTCGCTACACAGAATTACTGCTGCTGCACCATCTGATGTTGGACTGGAAAAAAAAACGATTAAATTTAATGTTTTGTTTAAAAATTATTTCTTCTGAAAAAAACGAAACCTTTTCTTTTATCATTTTATCATTTCTCTTTTTTTTTTTGCAAAATGCAAAGTATAACAATATTATAAACATTACAAAATGGCACTACAATAACATAGCATTTTCTTTTTCACAATAATTATTACTTTTATTAATTCAATTATCGTTTAAGCTACCTGCATTCCAGAAGACCCATAAAATCGTGAATTACACGTGCATTCAGAATCTCGTTCAAGCTATATTCCT